TCTGGAGGGAATTAAAGGAACTAAAATTCCCAACGCTCTGGAGCAGCAGGTCCCTCAGACCTTCTACCAGATGCTGAAGGTTTTCATCACCAGATGGTGGTAGTCCTGTGAATTTGACAAATACCTTTTTTGTTGTGTTGTTGTTCTTATTATTGTTATTGTTGTTTGTTGTTTTGTTATGTGCCCTTAGCTGTTCTGGACTGACATATAAACCAGGCTGGGCTCAAACACAGAGATCTGACTGCTTCTGCTTCCAGAGTGCTAGGCTCACAGATATGTGCCGCCTCGACAGGTACAGTTTGAGCACCTGTTGTATATCAAGTGCCTTATTAGGCTGGGAATCCAGCTCTGCCCAGCAGAGCTAAGTCTAATGCCTCACTTCTCAGAGGCTGGTGCCTGAGCACCAGTATCGGCTTTCCCTAGGAGATTATTAGCAATTTCAGGCCTGCTCCAGACCCAGTGAGTCAAACCTGCATGTTTTACAGGATACCTAGGTGATTTCTCACGCATACTGAAGTATGAGAAGCACTGACTTCATTGATGAAAACAGAGTCTTCTGTTTCCTGCTTTTTTTCATTGGGTCAGCAAGTACTTAAAGGCCAGGCTGGTATGGAGCTGGAGAACTGGAGCGTAAAAGACCTTGATGACAGAGAGATCAAATTCTGCTAAGGAAAAAAAGAAAGAAAAAAAATTGTGAGATAGTTGCTGACCATAAGGGACTAAAATCCACCTCCTGGAGATGAAGGGAATCAGAGGTCCCTGGCAAGAGTGGACAGGGTTCCAAACATCAGAGTGGGAAAAGATGGCAAATCATATTCAGTTAATGAGAAAAATCAGGTTGGAACACTCCCCACCCTTTACTCAATTTCACAGCTGGGATTCATGAACCATTGTCCCAAAAGGCCTGGCCTCTCTCATTACTCAGAGCCAGCCCCTCCTCCCCACTCCTCACTGTCCTGATTGACAGGGCCTTCAGACCCTAATGGTATGGGTTAGATAGGAACAATCAGCAGAAATCAACAGGCGGCCTTTCAACATCAGTAAACACATAGAAAATCCAACAGAGCATTATTTAGGTGGCCAGGACAGTGTGGCTATTGTACGTGCCACTCACCCGAGCAGTGATTCAGATGACAGTTTCAGAAAGGACTTGCAAAGAGCCCCTTGGCAATGGAGCATGGGCAACTCAGAGCCCATGACATGTTACAAGGTCAATCCCGACTGCACAAAGATCCAGAGCGCCACTGAATGGCGTATTTCTCCAGCCCTGCTCCGTACAAACCTGGGATAATGTGACATCTTTCAAATTACCTCCCTGTTGGTAATATCCACGGTGCATGAAAAATGTTAACAAAAAAATTCTGAAAAGAGCAAAAGGTTTTGCAAGGCAGTGACTCCAGTGTAGCCATTCTGAGGCTTCCAGTTAATTCTGCAAACTTCCCTGATAGCTGGTACTCTTAACCCAGAAGGAGGGGTGGTCACAAGAGGGGAGGAAAGGCTCGTCTTTTATTACTCCCTCCTGCCTATGCCTGGCCCTCGCCTGGCTTTCAGGTAGAAATGCCACGCTGTGAGTGCTGGGTGAGCAAGAGTGTAATCTACTGAGGCTACTCCCCAACCAAAGTGGTTTCCTGATAGTATGTGGGGAGTGTTTGTGCTCTGAGCCCCACTGGAACCAATATTCTGGTTATTTTCAGCCTTGTCATCCTCAGAACTCCCACATGCCCTGCAGCTGTCTTCTCATGGTGGTGTCACACACTAGGAATTAAAAATAAATTAAAACTACCAGGCATAGCACTATCTAAGTAATTCAGACTCAGGCAAACATTCTCAGAACGCCTTGTGATGAGCAGCCTGCAGGGAAAGGCAGGGCCAGGAGCTAGGATACGCAAGCAGAACAGAGACATGACTGCCATGAGCCAGCCCTCCAAATGTGATTCCTTATATTTGAAATTTAGGTGCCGACCTTGCTTTGTCCTAGTTGAAACCTAGCTCACTGGCTTCATGTCGTGATTCTTTCCATTCATTCCCCAGTTCCCCATTGATATCCTGGGTGACGAGACCTGATATCCATCAAAGTCAAAAAAAAAAAAACAGATTATTCAGGAGAAAAAAATGTGAGTGATCAATAGTGAATTTACAGTGGGGGTGGTGTAGCCAGATTTAAGCAAGTGAAAGCTACAGGTGCTCCAAGGAAAAGGAGACCCAAGTCTTGTTAACCAGTGATTTGTCCTAGTCAGGACAAAACCCCATCTGTCAGACCAGGATCCTGCCTGGGGATGTGAGCCCAGATAGTGGAGAGGTGGGCACGGCTCCTGTGAGATCAGCCACAGGTGTTCTGCAACCACAGGAAGGCTCAGGATCTTCACGAGGAGTGCTTTGTGTGAAGCTCTCTCCCTCATACGTACAAGCACCCTGGTCTGGGGGCTGATCAAACTCCTTTCCAATGCCCATTTCCCCCAGCTCAGTCCACTTGAAGCTTTGAGCTCACCCTGCCCACAGTGTTAGACGCGGGCACTTCTCCTCTGATAATCTCATATTTTTGCTTCAGCCCATGATGCCATGAGCATAAAGCCAATCTAGGCAGCTTAGAGCTAAAGAAAAGAAACAAATGGTCTTTGGTTAGTGGTTATACACAAATGACTCACAGAAAAGCTTCTCCATAGTGGTTGGTGTCTCTGAGACCATCAGAAAAACAAAAATGAAGGCATCTTCCTGCTGTTCTTCATCACAAATAGGGCCCTGAGATATCCTTCCTCCATGTACGGGCTTTTTAATAAACTGAATTTTCTTTCTTTTATTTTTTTGGTTTTTGTTTTTTGAGACAGGTTTTCTCTGTGTAGCCCTGGCTGTCCTGAAACTTACTCTGTAGACCAGGCTGGCCTTGAACCAGAGATCTGCCTGCCTCTGCCTTCTAAGTGCTGGGATTAAAGGCATGAACCATCACTTCCCAGCTACATTTTTTTTTAATTTTATGTGTATGATTTTGACTTTTGTTCTGTTTTGTTTGCTGGCATATCTGTCTATATGTCACATGCATGCCTGGTGCCCGTGGAGGCCACAAGAGAGTAACAGATCACCTGGGACTAGATTTGTAGATGGTTGCCCACTGACATCTACGAGCTGGGAATCAAACCCTGGTCCTCTGGAAGAGCAGCCAGTGCTGAGCCATCTCACCAGCCCCAACTACCTTCTTTTAAGCACCTATGTTCTTATTGTCCTCCCTATGTTTCTTTTTCTACTATCGTTGGCTGGCACGTGGCACAATCCAACTAGAAAACTCAAGCATTCATCTGTGTGAACTTTAAATAGAAAGATCTTCAGAGTGATGCATTCAAACCTAGTGGAACCCTGGACCCACAAACCTAACTTCCAGGCTGTGCTCTAGGTGGCACAGGAGGCTAGTCAAGGTTCAGAATCACCTACAGCAATGTATAAAACCCACCATTCCTGGGATAGTTTTAATGCTGTCTAGAGACAATAGGCTTCTTTTCTGTAAGATTTCTGCCAGCATGACTCAATCTCACAAAATCATTACAGACAAACCATCATTATAACAAACATATTTCAATTATCATCTGTATGTTCCGGGCACATTCACTGAATTGTCTTGTTGAGGCAAATTCATTAAGATCATAATGTGCCTGAGATGTTTTAAAACCCTGCAGATGATAACTGAATTTTTAGCAGCATTTCCAGCACTCAGAAATCAGTAACTCATCTTGTGTTCTAAAGTGCTTCGATGCAAACCCAAGGAGCCTGTGACCTTTCAACCCAAGTCTGCCATACCACAGACAGCTGGCCTATGGACCCAGACTCCCATTCTATAGAGTATCTGTGAGCCAAAGTCCGCGATGATCATCCCAAGAAAAGGGAGGGTCTAGCTATGGTAACACCAGTATTGTTTTCAATTTCTTGGAGGAAATGAAAAGCATCCACTCCCTAATCTCTCCTAAAGAACAAAGACCTTTAGATGCAAAGAGGCCTATTATTTATAATAATAAAAATCTATGCCAGCTGGGCGTAGCAAGGGAGTGAATGTCTACAATTCCAGAACACTGGAAACTGAAGCAAAGTAGTCATGAGTTTGAGACCAGCCTGGACTATACGGTGAGATCATGTCTCAAAGACCAACATGCCTCAAGATGAAAGAAATAAAAATCTGCCTATACATCTGAAAGTAGTGAAAGGGTGAGACTGAAATGCTGAGCATGGAATGTAAAGAAATCAAAGTAGAATGGAATACTATGCAGCCATTAGAAGCTGGTACTAACACAGAGACATTTTAATGTAATGCTAAAAATGTTAAACAGTGTCATCTGTGCTGTGATTCTAACTTTATAAAATAAATGTGCATTTGCATAAGAAATATATAAAGAAACCTGGGAAGAAAACAGTTGGTATTTAAAAGTGATTGGATTTGTGAGTGATTCATACATAGTCATTTTTTTTGCACCCGTTACAAAGTCATGTAAAATAAATAAAACAGAAAGAAAGGAAAACAGTTGAGACTTTTTTAATGCCAGGCAGGATCGAGATGCTCAGATGATTCTGCATTCTTCCCACTCCTTTAAAACAGCTACGGTCTCAACTCGGATGGATATTTGCATTTTATGAAGCCCACTTGTCGAGACGACTGTGCTGTGTGGATAATGGGACAGATTGCACAACATCTTTGGTAATAAATCCTAAGTGCGTTTGAACTACTGGTTGGCATGGTGAGGGTATTCAGTTTTGAGATACGGTCAGGGCCAGGGCTGACTTCCTATGAACCTACAGATGACCTTGAATTTCTGATCCTCCCCACCTCCACCTCCTAAGTATGGGATGACTGGCATGTCGTCACCCCGTGCATGGCTAAGCCAACCCTCCATCGAATTATAGTCCCAGCTGTGATATTGCTGTCCCATGGCAAATAAGTGCAAATCTTGCTGACAGAAAATAACGAGTTTTTTTTCTCCTCCCCCAACCCTTTGTCTCTCTCCTCCCTCTCCTCCATACAGTTCTGTTAAGCCAATATTCTCTAGAATGAGCACAAAACAAGTCAAATAACAGCTAAACCAACAGCTTTGTACATCAGCATCAAGAAGGAAGACGTTTGGGAGAGATCAGAGTCCAGAGACGAACATGCACAAGAGTGAAGCACCCACCCTTCAAAGCCGCTTCCAACTGGAGATCCGCAGGATCGGAGTGATTTTTCTGGGAGGCGCTATGATCGCGGACTAAACACCAGCTCATTGGAAACTGTCATTAAATAAGATCAGATAACATTCATGAAAATCATATTCAGGAACTAGTTTAAGAAAGACGAATACAAATGTGCTAGGATTCACATGTAAAATACATATGTACTGAGGTTTATAAACTGTCCTTTTTAAATCACACTGAAAACAAAAAAAGCTTTAATCTTTCAATACAATTAAATGAAATAAAAGGGCAGTAAGTTCTAGCTTATACCTGTCTCGGTAGCCAGGAGACCTCTCAAGTGTCATTTATTGAGGAATGCCTCTGATCTTTGGTTCCTTGTCCCTAGTGTCCACTCATTTCACTGTGTAATTAGTTTCAAACACTTGGTTATTAAGAGAATTAGCCTTCAAACTTATTGCCAAGTGTGTGTTCAGTTTAATCTGTCTGTGCGAGTTATCACCAAGGAAATGTTTCTGCCGTGTGCTATGACGCCATCAAACTGTGAATTGCAGGAAGTACATCATTTCATCATAGGTTCCCAAGTAACATAGATTTCCCCGTCATTGATAAAACGGCATCAAGGAACTCTGAACAATATAGAAAGTTTATTTTCACTTGGATGCTCTCTCATGTAATATATAGGCTGCTATCAAATAAAGTTTTTCTAATCCTCTCTAGTATATGAATAGGAATTTAATATACTTTATAAATAGATATCTAAAATATGAGTTTTCTATTTCTTCATTCTATGTCATTAGAAATCTATATTCTTTATTTCCTTTACTGACATATACTCATTTGTTCTGTTAGAAGAAATTATTCCATTAAATTTACTTCTAAACGAGAGTAAGTGGTACTAACAAAATAAATAAAAACTTAATAGCCTTAGCAGTAAATAACAATAAACTTATACATGTCAAAGGAACTTGATAAGAATAAGTTACCTTTTGTTTATTAATGTTGATTTTGAAAATTCTCATATTTTTCCCCTTTTGGTTATCTGGTACAAGTTGTTACAACTACCCAGCTGTCTTTAAGGATCTTTTCCTCCCAGGATTCCCCAACTGGTGCCCTCAAAGAAATATTTAAAATTGTAGTAGCCCATTGTCCGAGGATAAACACAAGCTGAAGTGCACATAAATGGGGCTCAGTGGAAGCCAGCCATGTTCTAGGCCTGAGCACACATATAAAATGCCTTCCCTCCCAGGCTCAAAGTAAGGTTAAGTTAGCATCTGTCGACAGATGCTTGTGACAGGGGCTGACACAAGAAGGGTGTCCTCCCTTCTGCTCCCAGAAGACCGCATTCATATTGTTAGCCCTGTTCCCACACGAATCAAGTGTTTCAAACAGCTAAAGTATATTACAGATATGCTCAAGTGCTCAAGCAAATGAAATCCAGTTCACAGAGGTGTGGCTTTCCCAAAGAATTAAATTAAAGGAACACTTGGTCTCTATAACTACAGTGTTAGTCTTTCTGGGCGCTATTTGTTGCTTTAAGTAGTAGTTGTCCTGATGCGTTCACAATACCTACTTGCTAAATTTAATTACACACAACTTTTTAAAAATTCACATTTTATTTAGGGGGAGGCATCTTTATACCCACACTAAAAACAGAAGATATTGGTTTCCTTTAATTGTGATTATGATTCTGTCTGGGGTCCCACATCATCATTAGCAGTAATGTTTTTTAAAAAAATAAAAATAAGTACTTCCTCTCCACATGCAAATGTTTTTAAGAAGTTTTTGCCATAAAACCTAAGTGTAATTTAGCATACCACAGTTCTATAAAGATGGGTCATGGATGATATGCCATTTGTACATAGATACCACACACGTAAACCACTAAATGTTAAGTATAAGAAATATGTTTTTACCTTCGAAAAAGACTCCCTTTCTCATTCTGTTCTATTACGTCTAAAAGTTGTGTGTAATTTTTTTTTAAGGTCCAGGAAATGTAAAGAAATTTGTTGGAATACCTGAATTTCTGTAAAAAATAAAAATAAGATTTTGTTACTTAAAAAAATACTTACTGGTGTAGTACACATCCATTTTTGACTGCTTGTCCAGTGTATTATTTATTTCTCTCGTTGCTATGATCAAATACTTGGCAAAAGCAACTTAAGAGAGGAGGGTTTTATTTTGGCTCACAGTTTGAGGCAGACACAGTCAGTCACGGAAAGTAAGTCATAGCAGCAGGACAAGAAGTGGCCAGTCACATTGTATCCCCAGTCAGGAAGCAGAGAGCAAACAGGAAGTGGAGCTACAACACAGAACCTTGTGGCCTGTCCTCACAACTCACTTTCTCTAGCAAATCTCCACTTCCTAGGTTCCACAAACTCCCAAATTGTTGCACCGGCTGGAGACCAAGCGTTTGAATGTGCGAGCCTACAAGAGACATTTCAAAAGCAAACCACCACTCCAGTGTGACTTAATGGTTTGATTGGAATAACTGTCTCCAAAAACTTTCCTTGCATTTCCTGATGTTGCCAAAAACAGATGCTGATTGGATATGCAGGACCCTCATGCACAGGACATGATCATCACCTCTCGCATCTCCCCCTTCTACCCAAATATAGACCTACCTCCACTGGATCTAGCAAAACTGTCAACTTAATAAATAGCTTGACATGAAATATCCAATTACTCAGCCTCTACTCTAAAACTAGAGGCAGCCGTTTGTCCCTCAGATGTGAGCAGCCAGTCCTTCTGCAGCTCTTTATTTAGGGTATATATTGTCCTGTTGGGGTTCAGTCCAAGATGCTTGTTCGTTATATTATCCTGTAAAACTCGGGACCTTGGTTTTTATTCATCTACAAAATGGATAAAAATAATATCCAGTTACATAGTATTGTTGTGAGGATATGAAATGATTCATAATGTTGTGCTTGACAGGTAGGAGATATCCACTGCATGTTCATTCCTTCTCTTCCTACTATCCATGACACACATTGAAAAATTAAAAATAAGAAAGAGGATCTGGAGAGATGGCTCAGGGGCTAAGAGCATTGACTGCTCTTCCAGGAGACCCAGCATCACTTCCCAAACAAGATGATAGGTCACAATCATCTGTGATTCCAGTTCCAAGGGATCTGACCCTTTCCGCTGCCCCACACAGGCACCAGGTAAACAGGCATGCATCTAGACAGAACAGCCATACACATAAAATATAAATAAATAAATCTTATTAAAAGAAAGGAATATATAAAAAGAAAAGAAAAGAAATTAATAAAAAGAAAAGGGAAGAAGGAAGGAAGGAAGAAAAGAAACCCAGGTGTGGTGGCATACATCCTCAAAGTCAGTACTTGGAGAGCAGGAGGTAGACAGGTCTCTATGAATTTGAGGCCAGTGTGTCTACATAGGAGTTCGGGCTGTGTAAGTGAGGCCTATACAGAGGCCCCACATATGAGGAGATTAATGAGACCAGCTAGGCTGGGAAGATAATAGGAAAGCACAGAACAATGGAGCCCTGGAAAGCCTGGGTCCTGTCTGTCTAAAGGAGATAAATAGCCAATACTCAACACTAGCGACACGTGCCAAGAGCTACTCTAACCAGAAGAAGAGAGTGATGCCCACATACACGAAGTCCTTGCTAGCACTGGCTTTGTGTTATAGTAGAATTTAGACAATAAAGGGGAAAAAAATGTTTTCTCAAAGAGAAAACATTGTCTCAAACATGCCCTGAGACAATCAGAACAGGGTGACATGCTAGAGCTATGTAAGTGCTGGAAGGAAAGGCCTCATTTTAAGTGACCGGTCAGTCTTAAGGACTCAGCAATGTGAACAAAAGGAATGGGTGACAGGCAGGCAGGCCCAGGCCTAAAGGCTCTAAGACAGGATTAAACTCAACACGCTAAAGCAACAGCCAGGCGGCAGTAGGAATCAATGTAGGCCGAGCAGGAGTGAACGCTGGGGCTTTGAAGGCAGGGATAGTTTGTGCTTTATCTTGAAGACTGAGAGAAAGCTATTGGAGGGTCTTAAATGCAAAAATAATGCAAATTGTTCTACGTTTTCTTAAAGATTATTTTTGGTTCTACTTCTAATATGAAGGAGGAACTCTAAGTCCTTCCTTTGGCAGGGGTTGTAGCTCAGTAGGTAAGAGTACTTGCCCAGCAGGCACAAAGCCCTGGCTTCAATTTCCAGCCCTGCACAAACAAGATGTGTTAGTATGTGCCAGAATGTCTAGCACATAGTTAGTAGAGGTAAGATAATCATTAGCCCAAAGTCATTTAGCCAGAGAGTCTGGGGCCAGCCTGGGCTACATAAGATCCTAGCTTTAATAGATAGATAGATAGATAGATAGATAGATAGATAGATAGATAGATAGATAGATAGA